GGGGGCGCGGGGCTCCCCTTGGGGCCGGGACACTAAGCAGGTGTGTGATGCCCGCAGGACGGCGGCGCGGAGCCGGCGCGCTGCCCCATCGAGCGGCCGCAGTGGCGGGCGGCCGCGCAGGCAGTGTACGTGCGCTGGAGCAGCGCGGGGCCGCCCTGCAACTTCAGCCTGAGCGCCCAGCCCGGCCCCGCTGCCTGCCAGCCCGTGCGGCGCCACAACGCGACCTACACCGCCAGCTGCGACCCCCTGCAAGCCGGGACCCTCTACAGCTTCCGCGTCCAGGCGCTGACGGGGCCCGAGGCCGCCAACATCTCCCTGCGCACAGGTGAGGAGCAAGGGCGAGGGCAGAGGTCCCGCTGCCGCCCGAGCGCGCTCTCACGGGCCTGTGTGTTCAGGGCTCTTCATAACCCCTTAAAAAACGAACAAACCCAAGAGAGCCCACCCGGAGCTTCCTGCGCGCCCCTCAGCAGCCGGGCGATGCATCGCTGCTGGCAGGCTGGATTCAGCCCGTGTTTCAGCTCCGCCGGGAGAAATCAGATGTGCTCAAGGATGGGGTTTCCAGTCCAAGCCCTCTCTTCTCTGGGCCCCCATGAGCCATGCAGCCCCCAGAAGTTGGTGGTGAACTAGTCAAAGCCCCGTCCCCCCCATCTGTTTTCATTTTATAGTCAAATATAAAGAACTAAAAAAATGTAAGGAGGATTAATATGCCCTGCAAGCACAAGGGGACATTAATCGTGGGGATCTAGGCAGGATTCAGTAAGGAGCTTGGTGATAACACGAAGTGCGGAGCTCGATAGCCTTGGGAATGCACGGTAGACTTATTGTCTTAGAAATATGACCGGTTATTACTGATTTTTTTCTATTGCTCATACCGTCCCAGGCAGGCTTTCTATGGCAGGCTTTCTATGCAGGCTATGCAGCTACTTTGTATGTAGCTTTACAACAAAAGGCTGCGCAGAATAATTGACTTCAGTAAGAGAAGAGCTGTGTCCATTTTGCCTATATTGGCATGTAAACTTGAGATTATTATTATTTTTTAAGACCAGAATACATTCAACGTTCATCTGTTTGGTAATAAGCTATAGAGCTCGAACCAGCGGCGCTCATTTCAACATGTCAAGTCCTGTCATACTCTTTTCCTTTTTTTCATCCTTGTCTGGCATCTTAGTTGTAGAGAGAAACTAGTTTTAAAACGTAGTTTTAGCTTATGTTTAAAGTCGATGGCACTCAGAAATGACCTTCTCTGACCAGTGTCTTGCATCATAAGTACTGCACAGTTTCTGAACTAGCTCTTACTACTGTTTGAAATGTCTTGGTTAATTGGCAATCTGTTAACTCAAGCTAAAAATCTATTGTAGGCAAATCTGCTATGATAGACATTTAAACACATTACAGGTGTTGGTTGTTAGGACTGGGTAATAGTGTCCATAGCAACAGCAATTTAAATGTATGCGCGTGCCAACTGTTTTTGATGTTGATGACTCACAATTTTAAAATAACAGATTAACTGTTATCAGAGCTGGAGGTGTATATCACAAACTGTATTGAATGATAAATATTTATTACGCAGAGCCTTTGAATAGAAGTGAGAAAAAAGCAGCCGTATAGACAGCAAATGATATACTTTGTCCAATAGGAATTGTTTTAAGATGGATAAATTTAGACAGTGTTTTGTAAATGTCATTTCTGACACATTTCCTGTTTGATAAATATCTTTTGAAAGAATATAAGGAAGATGAGAGGAATAACTGAAACAGTTGTTAACAGCCTTTTGCATTGTCCGGTGTGGATCTAATATAGATACAGAGTAACAAGACTGATAAAAGTTTACAGCTGAAATTCTTCCAAGACCTTGGTCTAGGTGGTGTTTTTTTTTCTTGGATACTGGATAGCAGAGAAATCGGAAAAAGCAGAAGGACACTGTTAGAATATAAATAGAGAATATTGCAAGAGACGCCTGTAGAAGCATCTGCTTAGATTGCTTAAGCCTTGTACTTTGTGTTATCACCAAGCACCTGAATCCACTGAATCCATTTAGGCTATGTAGATGGTTTGCATCCTGTTTAGAAAAAAAATAATTATCTGCAAAGTATAACTCCTCACAACATTTGTAATGAATGTCTTAAATTGGGAAGGTGTATAACAATGTAATCATAATAAGCTGTACACTTTTGTATGTGGTAAGTTACAGGTTTTTTAAAGAGGTTATTCCTTTCCTTTTTCCACTAGGGGCAGTGTTTTATTCTAATTTTCTATCCCAACTTTTTTGCTCAGTAATTTTTGATGTTGAGAATTTTGTGAAATAATTTATCAACATTAAATCCATAAAGGCATATATTACTGGAAACTAACCTATAAATGTGTATATGTGAGCAGCCCTATGGGCATATCAAAGACAAAACTGCCATTGACATCAGGAGGAAAGAATCAGGGCCACTATACATGTACATGTTCATAAAAAGATCTGTGTTATAAAGCTATATATGCACATACATTATGTGCAATAAAAATACACAGACTAACACTTTAAATGACATGCCTGCTTCATAGACTGCATAAATAACTTTTTTGCTAACATTCAGTCCTGCTAAAGCTTATATAAGCTAATTCTCATGCTGATTTTGCATTTTACCCACAATGTTTTACTTACTGCTATACCTTCATGTCAGATGTTCACACGTATTTATTGTGGTAGAATTGTTAAATAATGTGAAGCTCTGGCTTAACCCCCTAAATCAAAAAGATTCCCTTTTATCTTCAACTCATTTTATTCTGTTTAGGGTTTTAAAGGTAAGTTTAATGCATAATGTGTACTAAACATGCTGCAAGTCCTATGCCAAATTTTAAATTGTCTTCGATTTGTGAGTGTTAATCCAACTCTTGAATAAAAATGTAATGTGACTACCTTAATATATTACATTTCCGGTGGGGGGGGGATTAAACAAGAAAAGCTCGCCTAAATTTATACAAACACTTGGGTACTATGGAGATTCTTAGGAAATAAATGCCATTTAATTTTTCAGTACATGTAACTATAAAATATTGATACAATGCTCCAGAATAATCCGTTCAAGTAAAGTCAAATATCTGATCTTCTAAAAGTGGTCTTCAGTCCCCAGATATGTGCTTATGCCAGTGATTCTCAACCAGGGTGCTGGGGCACCCTGGGGTTCTACCAAATCTGAGGCAGGAGGAGATAAGCGATGTGTGAGAAGCTAAACAGATAAGCCAGGCTCAGGCTTTTCCCTACCTGGAGATCCTCCATGCCTACTGCCCAGGCCCTGTGTAAGCACTCTAAAATACAAATTAGTTTTTGAAATTGGGTGCCATTCAATTCACAAAGGTTATGAGGAGTATTTTGAATCCAGTGAGGTTTCTCAAGTCCAAAAAAGGTTGAGAACCACTGGCTTATGTATTATAAAGTGCTAGTTCCTTTTCACATCAGTGCTATTTTTAGAGAACAGAAAATGAGGGGGAAATGATAACAGTTAAGAATCACTGAGCTAGAGAGAAATTCGGCATGCCAGACCTCACAGAGAAGATGTGATTAACCCAGGAGTAGGTAAAATACAGCCCGTGCGACAGATCTGGCCTGCCATGAGATTGCTTGGCCCATGCGGGTCGCTCAGTCCCAACTGGCCCAGGCACTGGGGACAGCTGAGGCTGTGGTGAATGTGGCCGGTGCTGCCTCCCCAGGAGTCCAGTGGGGCGTGATTGGCATGGTGGCCAGATTTGGCTTCCTGGCAGCCCTCTCAGCCTGCCTCTGCCTGTGTCTCCACTGTTGCTGCAGCCTCCAGACTTGGCCCCACTGCCCAGCCTGTCTGCCCGGCACTAACTGCTGGGGGGCACCAGATGTAGCAAGTGGGCAGAGTCTCAATGAAGACCGGCACAGGATACCCACTGGCAGAGTTCACTTAGCCAGGTAGATTGGATGGGGCTGTGGGCAGATGAGGAGTGGCATCCAGGATTAGGACAGGTGGCTGGGGCTGGGGCTGGGTTTTCATGACAGCATGGGGCTAGGGCCTGGGGAAAATCCATGATCTATTTCCTGCATGTTCCTGCCTGTGGAACTGGTGTGCATCACAGGGATGTGCAGGAGGCAGATCGTGGCTCTGCCCTGGGCCCTGGTCCCTCGCTGTCACCACCCTGTGATCCCAACCTCAACCCTGCACTGTTACTGTCCCGCAATCGCAGCTCTGGCCCTGTGCTGTCACTGTCCCACAATCCTGGTTTCACCCACCCATTCCACTCCCTGATGCTGCTCCCCACCTGCCCATTGTCCATTCCATCCTTCCGCTGAGCCTGCCCTGTCCATGGGGGTCCCAGGCTGGTCTTCATGGAGACCCCACTTGCCCGCCCACCTGCTCTGTCCATTGCTCCCAATGGTAAGGCAGACAAGCCGGGGGTCGGATAGGATCAAAGGCCCTCTCTCACCCTCCCACCACTATGCCAGGCTGGGTCAGCACACCCATCCCTGACCTGGCATTTAAAACTCTTTAACTGGCCCTCCAGCCCAAATAATTGCCCATCCCTAAATTAGCCTCGAGTTTAAATCATATAAAATTTTATATATATATATACATACATATTCACACACAAACATGTGCGTGCACACACACACGTATGTCTGTATATATATGAGTTGGCCAATATTATCAAAACCTTTTAAATATGATAAAGTATAAACCTATAGATCATTTTTTATTGTAGTATAAGCCTCATTTTTCTATTTTTTGCAAAAAGAACTGCTACAAGAATAAGGGTGGTGGAACTGTATCTGACCCATTTTCAGACCAGCACTTAGGCCCCTGATTCTGCAAATGCCCCACTGAATGACCTCAAGGTCTTAGTCACAACATTTTATAAAAAACACAGCAGAAGTTCCAGCCTACAATTACATTTAGAGGAAAATGCACCATTTAAATTCTAGAAATACATAATTGGCCTTCAGAACCCTGAGGATATCTTAATATTATTTGGAAATTCCCATGTTTTTTGAAAAAGAAAACATTTTAAAGTTGCTGTTGATTGTTATATTTTCATCTGACAGAAAAACTAGGTTCTTCTAGAATTAGACGGGGCATAAATGGTGTAGTATTCTATTAAAATATTACAAAATCCATATTGGTGAATTTAGCTGCTACCATTCCCCAAACTGAGTGAGGTAGCACAGCACATCAATACCTCCTTCTGTGCCAGCAGAGCCAGGATCCTGTTTGAAACTTAGTACTTAACTAGAAAGAAAAAAAGAATGCTCCCGCCCATGCAGTGGACCATCAGAGTTCATAAACTTTGCAGGACTCCAGGTGATCCTGAAGGCCACGAGGATTGAAGCTCAAGAATTTCCACTCTCAGTCCTGTCCTCATCTTGCAAGATCAAATCTGCATTTTGTTTCTTTGATTTAAGCACCATTATGTCTTCGGGAATCTACGTATGCAATCATAATTACCATGTTAATATAATGTGGGCAGTAGCTGTACATGCATAGTAGGTTTGTTAAAAATCTTCATGAAAAATATAACTCATTCAGCAGAAGTAAAAAAAAAATGGACCCTGAAGATTTGTGGATTTATTTATTTATTCTGTGTTCTTGAAGGCATTCGTTCATATATCATAGACTAGTATAAAAATATCTTCATGAAAATATTTTATTTCTGTGATATATAAGTGTTGGACAGTGGCCAGCAAAGAATTTTATAACAATGTAAATGGTTTTTTAAGTGTTTGTTTCCAGCAAGGGCTCTTTCAGGCCAGGCACTTCCCAATCTCATTGTTCCTTTGTTCTAACGGATGTACAAAGGACTGAGTGTTTTCTTTCCTGGGCCAGATAGATTAGATAAAGTCTGAATTTCTGAACTTCTCCTTTCTAGGCACGCAAGCTTTTTTTGTTCTCCTTTAAATACACCTTAGAAGATAAATGCCACATCTAATGCAGTGTACACAGAAGATATAGTGTATAAAATAATACGCTGTTATCTTTGAATGATTTGATATGATATGTTTTGCATTACAGTGTTGGGGGGTGGTTTGGAGCACCAATGAGCAGTCAACATACTCCTAATTTTGTTGTCTCAACAAGAATGAAAGAGCCTGCCAACTATTAGGCATGGTTCTTTGACACTCTCAGTCAGTCTGATGAATTTTCAGCTGTATTAGCATCTTACCTTATATGGGGTTGTTGGTTGTAGCCATGTTGGTCTAAGGACATAGGCATGCAAGGTTTTTTGGGTAGATGTCTAATAAAAGATATCACACCTACCTAATGAACCTTATCTTATACAGATCTAGTATTTATTTCAGAAGCCCAAATGTTGATCTTTTCTGATTAAACCAATTGTCTTCCATGAATAATTTTATCCTAAAGCTATTCGTTTTGCCAGCGCAATAATCCTTTGTGGATTAGTATATGTTATAGGTGGAGCTGGTAGCAAGGCCCATTGTTAAGGCTTCCTGACACATTTTGCTATACCCACCCTCCCCCA